AGACAGAGACAGAAAGTGAGAAATCACCCCCAGGGGGCATGACCACACTGCAATCCCTTCTCCTCCATTCTTCTCTTGGGATCTTGGGCACGCACGCACACGGCCGCCCGCCCGGTGTGAGTTTAAACCACCAGGTCCGGGACTCAAACCGCGGTCGACTATGTGGGAGTCCAGCGACATAGCCATTACACTAACTGCTGGTCCCAACCCCAGATTGGTTTTTAACAAAGAAACAACCAGAAGCATTTCCACAAAGGAGCAACCAGAGCATTTCCACTTGTTAAAGTTTATTAGGTACAAAGAAAGGAATCTGCAGAGGGAGACATTAATAAATATAAAATACATGTGAAATATTGTGGGTGGGGCACAGACTGGTGTCTGGAGGGTACGGAGGACGGCAGGGTCACCACGACGCAGATGCCCATGCGTGTGAACTCATGGTCGAGGGGCTAAACCTCTGCATGGCCAGGGAGCTTGGTGCACCAGCGTGAGCTTGGGTCTGGATTCTGGGGCAGGTCTCAAGGAGAGACGTGAAGACAGAGTCCTGAGACTTCTCCCTCGGTGCCGTTTTTGGTTTCTGCTCATTTCCTCCCTCTGTCCTTCAATTGTTTCATTTTTAATTTCCATCGCGACCGTGGGACACATCAATGTATCAACACCTCACCAGGGCGGGCGGCCTACCCTGAAGGTGGAATTGCCTTTGTTGAGGGCCTTCTCCATCATGATAATGAACATTTTATAATTATTTCACACAACTAAGAGGGAGGTGAAATGAATACTGTTATAATCAATTCTGACCTTTCAGAAGCCTTCGAGAACCAAGAAAAGAAATCGGTAATGCACAGAGCTGACGACCATGAGAGCTTCTTTTCCATGGATTTAGCTGTTCGGATTTGGCCTGGCTCATTGCCTAGGGAAGGGATCTTGACCCTGATGCGGTTGCTTCTGTCTGGAATGAGGAAGCAAAGCACTGCTGTGCTGCGTGACACTGTTAGTCGTTACTCCAGACATCGGCGAGGTGTGTGCAGTCACGTTTGCCAAAACCCTCCTAACCCCCCGACTTCTGGATGGCGTGGTCTGGGCGTGATACCCTCGTAGCGTGAGTGGGCTGCTCCATCGCACACTTTCATTGCTCTCCCCACGCCATCCCCCATTCCCTTTCATCTGTAGCTATTTTAATAACAGCCCAAGGATTAATCTGTTTCCTTCTATTTTTGCCCCTTCTTCTGTCATAGTCTTCCCCACCTCTCTTGCTGGCCGAAGCCAGGGGTGTGAAGAGCAGTCCCAGCTAGGCCTGACCCTTTCCACTGTCAGGGTGGCTGAGCTTACACCCCCACCTCCTAGAGGACATGCCCACAACAAAAGGGTGTCCGGTCGGGGTCTCCTTCAGCTTAGAAGGGAACTAGGTTTTGCCTGACGGTTGGTTCCAAGGCCCCTGAAAGGACTGGGGTGTCAGCTACTTGAGGCAGATTATTTCATGAAACACTTCATTCTACATTTTTCTGTGTCACCTTTTCCAAGAAAATCCTGCACTCAGGAGGGACAAGGGTTGGGACAGACCTCTGAGATAGAATCAGCAGTTGATTACAGTAATGAGTCAGATGTGTTTTTAATCTGCAGGGGGAAAAAATACAAAAATCTCAGCAGGCCGACCTTACCCTGGCTACCAGAATGGGGCTGGGAACTTCCAGGGGACTGAAGAGAAGTGATGGAGACTGGGGCACTAGGGACACTGTAAACAGTAAGAGCACTGGCTTCTCGTAGGATTAGTCAGTTACGAAAGGGCCCTGGGGTCGGCAGTGGGGGGCCATGCCCACTCTTGCTTTTATTTTACAATATATTTACACTAGGCAGCAAAAAAAAATCATCCCTGTACTGCAAAACGGAAGCGAGACATGGCGTCTCGTTCACTGGAGGCGGCGCGGCATCGTCTGGGTGTGGGGACACACAACTTCCTCTGAGCTGCATCATTGATAAGGCATTATTTGGTTTGGTTTTGCAGTTGATGCAATGAGAATATAAAATCATGCCAATAAGAAGCCGTTGTGGATACTGATGACTTGGGGACCTGCAAACTAAGGAATCTCCTAAAAACAGTTCAGAATCTGGGAAGGGCCAGCCCACAAGCATATGGAGAGCGATGGAATGGACGCCATGGGATGGGACAGGGTGCTAGCTGTACTGACAGACGAATGCCAAGATGCATTTTTAAAAAATGCAGAAATGGTGGGTGTCTTAAAAAATATTACTCAAATAAAAGTTGACTAAAATACTGCTTTAAAGCTCGTGCAAACCACCTATTTACAATAAATAAATGCTCTATTCAGAGCCTGTATGTCCGCTGAATTACAGCTTGAATATGGAGGGATCTGACATGTTCTCCTGGGGGTGCCCATCCTACAACATGGAGCCAGCTCCAGGACCTTGGCTTCATCCACCTTCTCACCGGAGTGTCTTTAGTGCTATCTGTGGAAACAGAACAGAACATTATTGGGTGAGGTTAGAAGACGCTTTGCACACCAAAGACTGACCCTGAGATGGTATTGCAGCTTGTCTTCATTCATGAAAGGCCACCGAGGTCAGGGATGTGGCCCCAATTATCTGCAGAAGGCTGGTTTTTATCACGGGGGTGGTGAATGCAAAAGGGATAAAACGGGATAGGCAGTTTATGGTATGTGGGGACTTAACGATGTCTAACATTTCTAGGACAAAGCACCAGCAATTCTCTTGATAGGAAGCTCAAGGAAGTCGAAGAACTTGCTGAAGATTCCCAAGTCAAGGTGATGAAAAAGAGGAAGGGATGGGAACAGCAGTTGGCGTAATGGCTATATCGCTGGACTCCCATGTAGTCAACTGCGGTTTGAGTCCTGGACCCAGTGGCTTAAACTCATGCTGGGCGCATGTGCTTGTGTGCCCAAGATCCCGAGAGGAGAGTGGAGGAGGAGGGACTGCAGTGTGGCCATCCTCCTGGGGGGTGATTTCTGTCTGTCTCTCTCTCTCTCTCTGTCTTTCTAGTGAGTGCACATGGCCTATAGCAAAAAACCTCTCAAAAAAAAAAAAAAAACTGAAAAAGAGGAAGGGACTCAGGACTCTCACTGATACTCTGATGTCACTGCATCCATAAGAGAGCAGCCTGGGGGCATTGCTTGGTATGTCTGGAAGTCAGTGATTTCTCTGGACGATTGCTTTGGGATTCACTGATACACTGATGTCACTGCGTCCATAAGAGAGCAGCCTGGGGGCATTGCTTCGTATGTCTGGAAGCCAGTGATTTCTCTGGACGATTGCTTTGGGATTTGCTGCAATGAAAATAAATGAAGATGTATCCACAAAACACAATAGATCTTCTTGACTTTGGTTGCCCAAAGGGGACTTTACAATCCACCGCTAGACTATTTCAGGCAACTGATGTCACTGCGTCCATAAGAGAGCAGCCTGGGGGCATTGCTTCGTATGTCTGGAAGCCAGTGATTTCTCTGGACGATTGCTTTGGGATTTGCTGCAATGAAAATAAATGAAGATGTATCCACAAAACACAATAGATCTTCTTGACTTTGGTTGCCCAAAGGGGACTTTACAATCCACCGCTAGACTATTTCAGGCAATGGTTTTTATTCTCGAGTTCTGGGTGATTTAGATATGTGCCTGCCATGAAGCTAGGGACCAGATTCTGCCAATGTTCCTCACAGATTTCCACATCAATGGTCACATTGATTCTTGTCCCTGGACAATGCCAGGAAAAGCATCAAGGTGTAGTATCAGAAAGAGCTTCAACCAAGAGGTCAGAAGCTCTCAGCATGTGACCTTGAACAAGTTCCTCAACCTTCTGGAACTGTTTTCCCTTTTGTTAAAGTCTCCCTTCAGCTCCCATCACCAGATTATTACAGGGCTCAAGTGACACAATGCATGCAAGCGGAGAAAGGTAAAGAGCCATGTAAATGTCGGAGACCAGGATTATGCTTACTATTTTATGTTTCTGATCACAGAAATAATGTATTCATTACAGAAAATACTGAAATCGCAGAAAAGCATTAAGAAAGTACAAATCAGCCAGTCTTCTAGAGTAAATGCCTCTAGTAATTTCTTTCCCCCTTTCTTTTTCCTTCCTTCCTTCCTTTCTCTCTCTCTCTTTCTCTCTCTCTCTCTCCTTCCTTCCTTCCTTTCTTCTTTCTTTCTTTCTCTTTTTCTTTCTTTCTCTCCCCCTTTCTTTCTTTTTCTTTCTTTTTTTCTTTCTTTTTCCCTTCTTTCTTCTTAAACATATTTCTTCCATGAAAAAGAGGGAGGGGAGATAAAGGAGAAAAGAAACAGGCACCCAGCAGGGTTTTGGCATTGTGATCCAGCACCAGAGTCAACAAGCCCCAATCATGGGCATGCCTGGTGCCCCCAATGAGGACTCTGATTGCAAACGTAAAACTTCCTGGGGACCAGCAGTTGGCGTAATGGCTATGTTGCTGGGCTCCCACGTAGTCCACCGCTTTTGGAGTCCCGGATGCTGTGGCTTAAACTCACGCCAGGCACATGTGCCAACCTGCCCAAGATCCCGAGAGGAGAATGAAGGAGAAAAGATTGCGGTGTGGCCATCCTCCCCTGGGAGGTGATTTCTCATTTTCTGTCTCTCTGTCTCTCTCTGTCTCTCTCTGTCTTTCTGGAGAGAGTGCAAGCCCTATAGGAAAACCTCTCCAAAAACAAATAAACAAATAAACAAACAAAAAAAAACTTCCCATGTGGGTTGGCCTCTCAAGGCCTTATTTATTTATTTATTTTAATAGAGATATTTTTTACTATAAGAGCATATGTGCTTGCCGGAGAGACAGAGAGACAGAAAATGAGAAATTACATCCCCATAGGGATGGGCACACTGCGATCCCTTCTCCTCCATTCTCCTCTCAGGATCTTGGACACGCATGCACTTGGCTTGAGTTTAAGTCGCCAGATCTGGGACTCGAACCATAGTCAACTACATGGGAGTCCAGCGACGTAACCATTAGGCCATCTGCTGGTCCCTCTCAGAGCCTCTTGAAGAGGCTGCTTTCTCATATCCAGGATGGAGCCTGTGTGGTCTATTGGACTGCAGTCCACAGGGAAGCAAGGAGAAGAACCAACCACCTGGCAGGACAAAGGTTCTTATTACACTTGCAGATCTGTAATCTGATTTCCTCTCCTTCATTGTGCTGATGGTCAGGCTTGTAGCAGCCCACGGCTATGCAGCTTTGCTTGCCTCACAGGCCCTCTCTGAACACACAGGGACATTTGGTGTGCACGTGGGCTTTTGCAGCAATACAGTAAGATGCATCTCGCAATCAGCTTCCATTTGGCATTTTCTGATCAAGACTGTGTCTCATCTTTCTGAGTGGAAGTTGCGGATTTGAGAATCTCTGTGGTTTTCGGGTAACATGAACCAGAGGTCTTTCTAAGCCTTCATAAAAGTGACCCTTTGAAGGCGTAGGACACTTTCTTGGATGGTAAAGACTTTGAAATGGATTTGGCTCCTGAAAAATTGGTAAACACTTCCGACAATACGGAGATCTCTTACCCCAATAAACAAAGCAATTAATGTGTCTTCAATTTGCACCTAGCCAAACAGAAAGGGTACATTTATTCCATGTGACACGCAGACAAATTTTTCTTTAAAAACAAAGTTTCATGCTGTGACTACAATTAGTGTAATTGTCAGCGCTTCTCTAAAAACAAATATGTATTAAGAGAAACGTCGGCATTGTGCCCTCCTCTGGTGTGAAAATGAGACAATCAAAATCTATTGTAATTACCTCACTGATATTATAATTAGCAACGATTAAGTTATCCCATGCTGCTTTTTTCCTCTTGGCTACAATTAAAAAAGTATATATCTTTCTGTTCCACATTACCGCTGATCATTTTACCTCAATACATGTCTGGTAAGTGGATAAATTAAAAGTAATTTTCTTTCTTTCTTTCTTTCTTTCTTCCTTTTTCTTTCTTTCTTTCTTTCTTTCCTTCCTTCCTTCCTTCCTTCCTTCCTTCCTTCCTTCCTTCCTTCCTCCCTCCCTCCCTTCTTTCTTTCTTTCATTCTTTTTTTGAGAGATTTTCACTGTAGGGCGCGTGCGCTCGCCAGACACACAGAGAGAGACATAGAGACAGAAAGCGAGAAATCACCCC